TGCAAGCACTGCCTCCAGCCCCTGTCCTACGTGCAGCCTGCCGCCCAGGCGCCAGCCCAGGGCGTGTGGGCGGAGCTTCCGCCACTGGGCTCTCTGCCAGCTCACGGCGAGTCGGCCAAGGGACCGAAAGGAGGTGGCAAGGGCAAGGGCAAGAAGGGGGAGACCAAGGGGGGCAAGGGCTACCTGCTCACCTTCCCTGGCCCGAAGCAGGTGGGTCCGCAGGCCTATTTCGGCCCACCGCCGCCCCTGCAGCAGGTGCTACCTGCGGGGCTCCAGCTTCAGGCATCAGGTTGGGTCCCGCCTGGCGCCATGGCTAGCGCGAATGCTGACAAGGACTCGAAGTACAAGGTTGAGGACATACCCAAGCTGCAGGGCCTGCTCCGCACCTGTGAGAGCCTGGGCGACGGCCAGACTGTCAAGTACTATCAGGGCCTCATCGACAGGCTGCAGCGGGCTGCTGAGCCCAAGCAGCCCTAGGTGGGAGCGGCCCAGCACGCGATGCGGGAGGCCAAGCAGCAGCTGGACAAGCGCGTCAAGATAGCGGACTCGTTGCGCGACCAGTACGTGCAGGCCCAGAAGCAGGCGGTGTCGGCCCTTCAGGACTATGAGCTGTGCCAGGCCAAGTACCATGAAGCGGTCGCCTTGCTCGCTGCAGGCGTCCCGCAAGTTCGTCCAGAACCTCAGGGGCATGTCCGCCATGGGCTGCATCTGTCTAAGCTCTTGGACGGCGAGGGCTTCGAGGTTTTCGAGGATGACGGTTTGTTCGGTCTCGAGGCTGAGGGGATCGAGATATCGGCTTCTGAGCGTGAGGAGGTCGAGAAGCGCAAGGCCGATGTGGAGCAGGTCACCAAGAAAGCTGTCGCCGACGCCTTCGGAGCGGTCCGCACGAGGGCGCAGGAGCTGGTGGAGGAGCAGCGGGCTTTCCGCCAGAGAATGGCTGCCAAGCGTCGTCGCACTGGCGAGGAGGCTGAGGGCGATGGGGCGGCAGAGGGCCACGCTCCGCCCCAGGCTGCGGCCTCAGCGCCCCCCCCCCCCCCGCCTGGTGATGCCGCCCCAGCCGCTGCAGGCCTGCCTCCGCGGCCGCCGCAGCCACCTTCCCAGGAGGCCCTGGCATCGGCTTCGGCGACGGCGGCCTCTGGGGCCTTCGCGGCGCCCGTTGACGTGGAGCAGTTCGACCTGGAGCGGCAGTTCGCCAAGGCGTCCAGCGTCGCTGCAGGCGTTGCCAGTGCAAGTGATTCTGGGCCAGGCCTTTGACGGGTGGGCCCCACATTCGACGATTGCCAACTGGGCTTCGTGGATGGCTACTCGCTCTTGGTCGCTAGACTCACCTGCCATGAGACCTCTGGGACTCCCCTCAGACGAAACCCTTGGTAGGCCAGTATCATCTTGGTGCTGGGGCCGCCAAGTGGGGCCCTGGGGGTGGGAATCGGAGCGAGGGTGGCAGGCAGAGAGCGCCGCATGTTCGGGGTACGGCTTGCCTCCAGATACTGTTGCCGCGTTTACTTCCACGCTAGGTTGGGGGCAGCCCGCAATTGCCCCGCGCTTGCCAAGCAGTCCGTGGACGACTTCAGCATCCACGGCGCAGCCTTGGGAGTACCAGTTCCCTCCCCCCCCGCGTTTTGGTCGATGCAGTGATGAAAAAACGGCTCGTCAGGTTCTGGAAGTGGATCATACCGTCATCGTGTGCAGTCGCCGTCGGCGGGAGCGGCGCAGTGTTCAGACAGTCTTCCTGATAAGCAACCCCGTCATCGTGTTCAGTCGCCGTCGGCGGGGGCGGCGCATCCTTCGACTACGCCAAGGACCAGAGCTACGTTAACTCCCTCGACTGGGTGTACTAGCATGGCGTTAGGACGCAAATCCTGGGACCCTTCGGGGTGCCCAGGTTCAAAGTCGCCACCTACCTACGCCTCGGCCTGGGCACCCTCTCCACAGGAGGCGAGGGGCACAGCGCGTGCAGGGGGCGTGGTAGGGTTTTGCAGGACGCAGCAGGCCCCAGATGCGCAGCAGGTGCCGTTGAGTCTCCGTTCTGTTGATGGGGGCAACGTCGGTACTGCTGACGCTCGTCAAGACCTGCCTGGCGATCGTAGTTCTGATGTTTCGGTGAAAGCAGTTCGCCGTTGCATGACCATCGACACCTGTAATTCATCTTCTTGGAAATCTTTGAAGACATACTTGCAGTCCGAGTCATTCGGCCAGGTTGTCGTGTTCTAGGATTTCGCGTTCGGAGATGATCATCGCGCGGGTACCCGCCAGCTTCGCCAGTTAGGTTGGAATGCGCTCGTGCACCCAAGCAGGACCACAGACAAGGGAGGGCTCAGTTGTGGGACGGGGATAGCTGCCAGGAGTCACATCGGGATGGGATCCTTACCGCTTGTCCGCCCTCTGCCTCAGCCACACCGTATCTGCGGAGCTTGGCTGGACTGTTTGTGCCTGGAGGTATCGCTGTGTTTTCCTTCTATCTCGATTGCGAAGACCCCTGGGCCTCGACAGTTTCCAGATCCTCAACAGACTCGGTGAGGAGCTCCACGGTTGGCAGCTACCCTTCGTTATAGGAGGAGATTTCAACACATCCCCGAAGCTGCTAGCGGACGCGGGTTGGGTGGACAAGATTGGGGGCACAATCTTCCACACCTCGGAGCCTACGTGTCGTAAATCGTCGACCTCTTGTGTTAAGGCCCAGTGAAGCGACCACCCCCCCCTTTAAGTTTCGTTCAGTGCGTCGCCCGAGCGTCGCCCGTGCGCCGGCCCTGGTTTGCGTCTCTGTCCCGAATCCCGGCTTCCCAGGGTGCGTGGGCGACATGTGGCGCGACTTCGGAATTTCTCTGGCGATATATAGGTTTCCGACGCCGGTGCACCAGCAGCCATTTTTGGGCGGTCGCGGCGCACTCCTAGTTCGACGGTCCACCAACGCGTTCTGTTCCCAATTCGGCGCAAGAGGATTTGCTGGTGCTCATTGTCGGGGGCGCCAACCGTTGCTGAGGACGAAGACGCCTCGCGTTGATTGGGGGCTGTGCGCGTCGCGCCACGGTGGGGGCGACGTCACGTCGCGCGACGCGGCGCCTTTTCGCCCCGTCGCATCGCGCCCCGCACCCCCATGTCGTTTCGCGCCAATCCTCCTGCCCCCCCCTCTTCCTTCCTTTTCCCCTCGTCCAACGCGCTGCGCGTTTTGTCCCGTTTGCGAAATTTGCATTCAGTTCTTTTGTGTCAGGCTGCCGTCCTGTCCGCCTCCCTACTCGCCCCCCGTTGTCCTCCCACCCTCCTGCAACTTCTTCTCGCCCTCCTCGCTCCCGCCGCCCCCCTTCGATCGCCTTCCATCGCTCCCGCCGCCGCTGCGCCGCCCCCGCGCGCCCCCTCCTCGCCCGTCCCTTACCATTTCCGCCCGCCCTTCCCTCGCCTCACTTCGGCCCTTTTTTCCGCCCCCCAATGCATCGGCGGGCGAGACGTCGCCAAATTGCTGCAGCGACGGACCGATGTTCAAAATCTGACGGGGCGTGCGCTTGAAATGGATTAGTCCGCGCGCGCTGCATCTCCATGTCGTCTATTGGTCTCCTCGCGTTCGTAGTTCTCACGTGTGTGTCTCGCTATTTCTACGATTGCCGCGCGCATCCCTTGATTGTTCCGCCAGCGGGCCGTGCAGTTCGCATGCCGTCAGGAGCCCGCGGCGCCCTTCGAGCGATTCGCGCGCGACCTGCGCGCGACGCGCGAACGACCCGAGCGACGCCCGCGCGACGCACGCGCGACGCGCGCGCGACGCGCGCGACGCACCCCGACCCGCGCGCGACGCACCCCTGCCAGCGCGCGACGCACGATCGACCCGCGCGACGCACGCGCGACGCGCGCGCCACGCGCGCGACGCACGCGCGACGCACGCGCGACGCACGCGCGACGCACGCGCGACGCACGCGCGACGCACGCGCGACGCATGCGCGACGCAGTCGCGACTTTGCCCGCCCCTAGCATTTCTCCGAGCAGCAATGCGCAACGGCCGTCGGCCCGCCGTGCTTGCGCTGTTCACAAGTGGCGGCGGCTGCGTCCTCCATTGCGCCAGGAAGGGCGGTGCTTGCCCCTGTTAGTTCCCTTTTTTCTTCGTCGTCGTCCCTCCTCTTTTGTCATTCCTCCTCCTTCGTCCTCTCTCCTGCCTCGTCTCCCTCTCTCCTCCCCTTCTCCTCCTCCTTTCTGCCGGCCTCCCTCTGTCTGTCCCTCCCCCCTTGTTCTCTCGTCTTCATTTTTTTCCCTTTGCCACCCCTTGCCCCTCTTCATTTTCTGTTCTCCTTCGGCCCCCCTTCCACGGTCGCGGCGCGTCGCCGCGAGCGGCGCCCCCGCCTTCCGCCAACGGCCCCGCCGCCGGCGGTGGAAGAGGAAGATTGCGAGGAGAAAAGGACGGGGGAGGGGCAGGGGCGCGAGGCGGGCGCGGCGGCAAGGGCGGCCCGGCAGGGGAATGGGGGGGAGGGGGGGGGGGGCGGAGTGGGCGGGTGCTTCTGGAATGGTCATGTTGGTGATCATGGTCGTGGTCGCGTTCGTCGCCGTGGTCGCGTCGGCGGCGGTCGTGCCGCTGGTGGTGGGCGGGCTGGTGGTGGTCACGTCGGTGATCGTGCTGGGGTCGGTCGTTGTGGCGGTCGCGAGAAGCGTGGTGGTCGTGGTGGTGGTGATGGCGGTAATTTGTGTTGGTCGTTATCGTCGCGGTGGATGTAGTTGCGGTCGCATCCGTTTGTGGTGATCGTGGCGGCGGTAGTTTTGTGCCGGCGGCGGTTGCGG